TTTTTTTTTACTGTAAGCACAATTTATAACACTATCCTTTCCAAATTCTCTAAAGTGCAATCTTCTCGGACTATATATAAGCTGTGTCAGCTGGTTAAAAATACCAGTGTTCAACCCCAAACAGGGGCTGATGGCCCAAAAAGACATTAATTATCAAATTTACCCCCTCCTCCCTTGAAACCTTCATATCTTACATTGCTGTATATAGTCTATCTACTGACAGCACCAGAAAATACACACACAACACACACCTAGATCCTGTTTCACTAGAACGTTTCAAGAGACCACCACCATCGCGTTTCTTATAAAACTTACACTTCTAGGAAATCTTTTTGACTTTTGTGGGTACCACCAACTTCAGCACTTTTCTCACACACGTCACTTCATCTAAAAATTGCCTGCCTGTTCAGGTGCAGATAAGTGATACAGCAGTACTTTTGCTATACACTTACTTTCTTGCATGTCAGGAAGATGCAATGTGAGCAGACAGGAGAGGAGACAAATCTCATTGGCAAGTTGTTTTTTATCCTTACACTATCTATCTCAATTGTTACGTTGATTCTGCTGTACTGGAATAATTTGTGTGTACTGTGCGAAGCAGCAATTTCTTTTTTTTAAGTTCAAGAATGAAAAACTAACTCAGATCTAAAAGATATATGTTATTAACCTGGAATTACTGAGTTTCTGGACTTTGTCCATTGTTTATTTAATATTCTAAAAAGAGCATAATGTTATGGAAAATAGAGATATCCATCAATTGAGGGGTTAGCTGTTTCTAAAAGACGTGACTGAGTAGGTGCCAACCTAACCATTCACTTTGAGATGGAAACAGTCCAAGATCCTCTGAAACATCGTGTGTTTCAATGTTAATAATATTAGATGACAGACGACAAACTCACAAAAGCCAGTGATCCCAAGCAAAAAATTATCACTTGAACTGAGATCCCACCAACTGTGTGGCGAGGGTCTGAGGAAAACAAGAAAAAAATCTCTGTCAGGATTGCCAGTGTCCTGGCTGAAATTTTAACCAAGGTCTCCAGAACAAACATCATTTAACCCACAACCTCCTCCTCCTCCTCAGTCCCATAAATTGGAACCTGTCCTCTGATTTTAATGTGTTCCCCATAGTTGATATGGTTTCATTCCTTAAATCTGAAATAATTTTCTTATTGCAACTCAGAATCATAACTGAAACCTTCCTCATTTTACAAACCATCAAGGTTATCAGGTAATCACCATACAGTATTTGAATTTGAAGGGTTCTAGGTTCATTCCTGGCTGTTGCCACATATACTGTAAATAATAAACAATAAGTATCTGTCAGTGAATAAACAACAACCTGAAGACAACAGATTAAATGTGTGTTTGTTTTACGCAAGAATTTGGATTAGGGGCAGTAATTAGAGACAGAGCCAGAAGATGACCACAGTAGAAGGCAAAGAGAGAGAGTTTACCTATCTTTCAGTCAGTATTGCAGCAGTCTCAACTCTTACAAACAAAGGGTCGTTACTATGGCATGCATATTCAGTGAAATTGTGATTGTGGTGATCAGGAGTGACACCGTGTGATCGTGAAGTCACAAAGTGCAGTGGAAGTCTAGCAGTCTCCGAGAACAGTGCAAGTAATTGTGATGCTGCCTGCAGATGGCAGTAGTTGTGAGACTGTAAACTGTGTAAATGTAAAGAGCGAATGTGGAATAAATTTCCTATATTCAATACAGCGTGAACTTATTTGTCGCGTTACCATACCCAACACATGACAATATTATAACAGTTGATCAATGATAGGTATGTCTGTGGAAACCATGTGGCTGGAAGTGTGAATTTGGAATAGACCTGTCAAAAGTCTGACATAATGAACAATACTTACTCACTCACTTATGGAGTTGAGGAAAAGTCAAATCTGCAGCTACCCAAGAATTTCCCAGCATTTTATGAAACCTGAAGGTCCATTACCATGTGGTACCTCTATCCTGGGTCAGATCAATCCAATCCATAGCTCCCCCATTCTATATCTCCCTAAGATCAATTTTAATATTATCCACCCACCTACTACTACTACAACTAACTACACTTAGTCTCTTTCCTTCTGGCTTTCCCACCAATAATATATCCTATCTGCTACAGTCCCCCTCTGCACATCTCATCATCCTTGAATAGTAATATTGGGGGGGGGGACACCCAAAAGCAGGCAAGTACTCTTTTGCGCCCTGTCAGCCACTTCAAATTTAGTCTAGGGTGGCGTGGTAGAGACAGCAGCAGTAGCGTAATGCACCATGGGTGTGACAGCGGCAATGATGGCCCACCGATAACGAAGAGTTTCACGGGGCTGACTGCGAAACACGTCTCATATCGTATAATAGGAGAAGATAAATAAAGCTGTCCCTGTGCTTAACTAATTAAGCACTACGCCATGAGGGTGTATGGGGGAGTGGATGTACAGATCCACATTTTCTTTACCTCAGTACCAGCTGCATGGACGAGAGTGGTCAGCTTCATGTCCCAGCCGTTTTGCCCCTGGGAAAGAGACCACACTACCCATTGAACTGGAGGGTGTTAAGTGGAGGGACCCCCAGAACCAATCTGGGCAACTTGGAGAAGAGAGAAAATTATTATTGATCCTATCAGGACTCAATTCCCGCCCCTTTGGTCGTCCAGTCACAGCCAGTCGCGCTCGCTATCCTGGCTCTGGAAACGAATAAGGATTTTTCTTGTGCCCTTACTAAAAACAGCCTGGCATAGTCACACCCCTTCTGATGTAGGTTAATAATAAATAATAATGGAAGGACTCTGAAACTGTATTTAAAATACAGACAAAATGTCTAAAAGTGATTGATTAAAAAGGTGCTATGTATAATAATAGAGCAGTATCCTGCAGAAAAATGTGTTTGTTAACTTTCGGTCTTCTGTATTTCTTTTATTGTCATGTTCCTTATAACAGGGTGGGGGTTGGGAGGGGGGTGTGTTGCCATATTTTAGTGATAAATCACTCTGTAAATTTTGTGTGAATTTGACATGTGTGATATATTCATTGTTATTTCTTGACATGTCCAATTTTTTGTTGTATTCACTTCAGTTATGGACAAAAAATGAAGTTGATAGTTGAATGAACCTAACACAGCAGGCATCCCCATGATGGCCACGACAACCCTGAGTCAGCCAGTCCTCTCTAATAATATACAGTAAAACATGGTTATAGCAACATCGGTTTCTGCGACACCTTGTCTATTGCGTCAAATATTCAATGGTACGAACTAATTCCTCATAAAGCAACTGTTTTCATACCTTGCTTAGTATGACACGCACAAATGCATCAACCTCGTATGTAACGTCATTTTCATTCCTGAATTTCTCTGATATCGTGGGAAAGTTTGATGTGTCTGCCCACCCTCACATTCTCTACTTGCTGACGTGACTGTCCTGGAAGAATACGACCGCAGGCTGCAAGAGGAGCATGGGTTTTATGCGAAAACAAGGGTGTGGGGTGGGACTGCGTGAACAGTGCAAGAGGACGCGGCAGGTTGTTAACTGCATTCCTTTCCTAGAATCTCGTCTAACAGGACCTCACATTGTCTACTTACCCTATAGTGTTCCTGCCTAAACCCAGAGAAGTGCAGTAGCGAAAACATGGCAATGAAAAGGAAAGTTTTAAGCATTGAAGAGAAAGTTAAAGTGATTCGTGAAATATTGTGTGTATTGTCAGTGAAAAGCGCTGTAATATGTCTTTGATATTACACATTTGGGCAATTCCATGTTAATGTTACGTTAGTCTGTACTTAACTATGTATTTCACTAAAAAATGCAACATTTTAACTCGGTTTTTGGTAGATTTTTATGTGACTAACATAAGGCTACTGTTGAAGTGCCCATTTCGGTTACAACGACATTCGTTTATAACGACACTATTATTAGGTCCCTTTGATGATGTTATAACCAAGTTCTACTGTATATGCATCTCAATGTTTATCCTCCAAGTGGTTTCACCCTTAACTGTCTTTCCCTATCCTGGCTCCACAACCAAACTGTGAGTCTGACCATGAATTGGACATTCTTTGACAGCCATCAGGTCTCACATACATAACCCATCTACCTAATATCTGTTGTGTGGCCTTTCTAGGGTATTTCTTTTCACATATAAGACACACTTTCGGCATTAAATAAAGAACAAAAAATTACAGCAGCATTACAGACACAGTTAACATGCTCGTTTGAATAACACACACGTTGCATAAAAAGTATGAAAAACGTCAGTGTCGCCCCCCACCACAACCATTTAAATTATCAAGTAAATCATGAGATGCACACTTACAGAAACCTTGCCCTGGATCTATAAAATGTTTATGATTTGTTCCGCAACTTCTGTTTAAAATTTGTCTTCTTCGTGTGATGTGTCCGTTGTTAGTGTTGTGAAATTCTGATGAAGATTTTGGTTGTTAGTGTTGTGAAATTCTAATGAAGATTTTGAAGTACAGACAAATTTCCCGTACAAATTCGCAGTATGGACTGCAATGGGTATGTCTGTTGCATTCAAGGTGGTGGGCATAAAAACAATGCAAAGCTAACGGAACAATTGCGACACAAATGAGCGTGAGACTCACCAGGGCTGCCAGGATAAGAACAACCATGCCCGACCCCAGACCCGCGCTGCTGTCCTCCTCCTCCTCCATGGCGGGTTTGATGAGCTGGGTCACGTTCGTCATGCCCACTGTAACAAGCAGAACAGTCGTGCTGAGCCCCATTTAAATACTTAGGGCTTCCTCGCAGAATGACTTTCAAGTACACGCATGCAAATCAACATTTTCTTTCTTTCTGCCAAGACTGGCGTGACGCTGTCGATCTGTATTTCCTGTTCTGAAAACATCATCATCACACATAACTCAGGACTTAACTGCAATGTCCACAAAGCAAAGAGCAAAATTCTTTCTGTGTGAGCATGTGTGTTCTTTGGCAACATTGTCACTTACTCTTTTAAGTCATGTGTAAAGGAAAAATTAAAAACGGTACACGTAAAGGTAATTACATGGCCATGGACACCCATAGGGTTGTGAGATGTCGAGGCTTTCCCCCCTCCCCCATCCCCATCATTTTCTAGACAATCAGCTCACAGCCTCACATACCAGCCACACACCCTACTTACCCCATTAGACACTGAGTCAACCCCCAGGACCACCACGGTATATTAATAAGTCAAACGAAAAAACCAGATGACCTCATCAGGAATCAAACCTGTGACATTTCTGGCTTGTATCAAAAGTCCCCTAATCAAGTTATGGCTACCGTGTATCCCAAAGGAAAAAAAACCTAAGTACCCATACATGTTAATGTCCCATGATACAACAAATTTCAAAAACCCTCTTCATGAAATCAGACGTTGTAAGAGCCCGCCCCACTGTGCTTCATTTTAAGAATACGCCTGCCTGCTAACAGGCAAATGGTAAAGAGCCTTGGCCACCACACAGCTCTTCACAAATACCTACAATTATAAACCATTTTGCAGCACTGTGCGAAATAACCGGTAGCTGTGATCAACAGAGGCAGTTAGAAGGAATAAATAAATAAACAGATAGCTAGAAATATAAAGTAAGTAAGGAAAAATAAAATCATACTAATGGGGGACAGTCACATAAAAGGACATGCATCTGAATTATTGAACCAAGTGGACAAGAAATTTGAGGTTATGGGCATGCTCATGCCAGGAGCAAGATTACAAAATATTGTGCAACTGTTCAAACAGGAAGTTAACTCCCTAACTAGGGATGATATGGTTATCCTATGGGGAGGCTCAAATGATGCTGCAAATTATAAAACAACGAATGGAGTCAGTCACTTAAAAAAGTTTACAAATAGGAAAAAAGAATATAAATTTTATTTTAATTACAGCCCCTCACAGGTGTGACTTAATGGACTCCTCACGTGTTGGTGAAGAAATGAAAGTATTCAATAGGAAGATGCATAAAATAATGAAGTCAGAGAGTAATGTGAAAATACTGGAAATTGAATTGGATAGATCATGTTATACCAGGCATGGGCTTCATCTCAATGTAATTGGGAAAAATAGAGAGAAAGAGAAGATATTAAACCAGATATGGGAACTCTTAACTAACAACAAGGGGGATGTTATTGCCCAGGGCTGTATAATTTGAACGAACCTTGCCAAGTACAGGGAAGAGATAACACAAGTCAAGGAGTCTCAACTGAAAGATGGAAAAGAAGTAGTAGTGAAAGTGAGAACTTGGGTGATTGTGACCAGACAGTGGGTGTACTCAAAAATATTATAGAGGGAAATGACACCAGTAATCAACGAAAGGTAATAGAAACAATCCTTGATTGGGAAAGAGCATAAGAACAGACGTAAAAGAAGACCACCACCAGAAATGAGGATTTCTTATGGGAGTAAAATCAAATAAGTCCCTTTTCATAAGTGTAATTATACTACAGACTCTCTAATTCTTGTACATCAAAATATCAGAAGTCTTGGAGACAAAACTGATGAACTGAAGTGTTCAATAGTTAGCAATAATATGAATCCTCACTTAATATGCCTATCTCAGCATCACATGTCCGACGAAAAATTATTATGCAGCAATTTCCAGAACTATGTACTGGGAACAAAGAATGCCTGTATGACTCTTCAGGGAGGAGGTGTTTGCATATACTTAACATCTGATAGAAAATGTAACAGAAATTTGTACACTTAAGATTTCTTTAGCTAAAACTAACATATCTGTACTGTGTCTACATGTATAGGTCACCTTGTGGGAATTTTGAGTACTTTATAAATAAGTTGGATAAATATTCAAATTGCTCTACAAACCCAAAATTGAATTTATATTATGTGGTGATTTTAATGTATTTTTTTTAGAAGCGTCAACTCGTAAAACACGGCTATTAGTGCCGTTGCAATCAAAACTAATATTTATACTGCAATGTCATACTTGCATTCCCATTTCTCAAATGGTATTCCAGATATGAATCTTAATTTAGTTGCAGAAGAGGAAATAATTAGTATAATTAGCAAATTAAAAAAAAAAACTCTTCAGGGTATGACGGTGTAAGTAAATAAAATTATAAAACTGTGCAGACAAACAAATCAGTAAACCTCTAACTTATGTACTTATAAGTCATTAACCACGGGTCTATATCCAGAAAGATTAAAATATGCAATTATTAAGCCAGTATACAAAGAAGGGGAAAAGGCTGTTATAAGTAACTACAGGCCAATATCTATACTAGCTGGGTTTGCAAAAGTTTCTGAAACAGCAATTTTTAGAAGACTCAATGATCATATCGTAAAACATAACATATTACTTTCAGAGCAGTATGGATTCCAAAAGGGATCATCAACCGAAGATGGAATGTTTCAATTAACCACTGTAATATGTATGTAACATATGTATGTAAAGAGTATGTAACTGGTATATTTGGTGACATAGCGAAGGCCTTTGACTGCGTTAATCATGACCTTCTATTAATGAAATTGCAGTACTATGGAGTGCAGGGTGTATTATTGCAATGGTTTAAATCTTTACATCCAATATAGGAGGCAAAGGCTGGAATTAAATTATATAAGTAACAAATATTACTCTACCCGGGAAATTGTTGGATGTGGCATGCCTCAGGGATCGGTGTCGGGACCATATACATAAACTATTTCCCCCATGAAATAACTAACATTTCGGAAGTTATCATGTTTGCAGATGACACAGGTATTCTTTGCACGGCTAAAGACTACTATAATTTAAAAACAAAACTGGATGTTGCTTTCAATCATATGTTTTCGTGGTTTCAGAAATAAGCAATTAGTGTTAACTGCCTTTATATGAGTCATGTTTTTATTTTGCTGTCACCCATCCATAAAAAATCATCCCTTCTTTTAGAGGATGGTTTTTGGAGTCTTCGTGATGGCATAATTTTAGTCGTGTCTAAATTTTGATCCTGACTGAGATCCCTGCTAGAATCTTTAATGTCACCCACAAGCTGTGGACTAACATACATACATAGCTTCACAGATCCATTGCGCGTATTGGGCCGGATATAGAGCTGATCGGATTAATTAAAAGCAGTTGTGATATGCAACCAAGTCCAAAGAGACGCAACCTAGATACAATAGGAATATAATACAATTAGGTATTTGCCATATATTCATCAATAGAATAGAAAGCTTTCAAGATAAGAAAGTCAGTTTCATTTGAATAAATTAACATTATCCTTTAAAATATATAATTTATGTGGCAAATTATTAAAAAATTTTATGGATGTATAATATACTCCCTTTTGTATAATGAATAGTCTAGCTGACGTGACATGTAGTCTGGGTCAGTAGACTGACCGAAAAGGATGAATAAAATTGACTTGAATTGAAAGCTCTCGGGAACTGGTCTATCTTGCAGTGATTGGCTATACATACGACCGTTCATGTCCTACTGCAAGAAGAGGAAAAGTTTCAAAGTACTGAAGCAGTTACTGAAAATATTTCATAAATGGGGGAATCCCCACAGCACCTACTATCTGAGAAGTGGAAACCTTAAAAACACATTTTAAACTTATTGACCTTTAACAATTGCTGTTGTGTAACCTGGTCTGGATAGTTTTTTCTATTCATGTAACTCTTAAATACTCTACAATGCAAAATCCTCTGTAAAAAAAAAATTATGATGATTCTCTTGTAAATTGAAATTACCAAAATTTTGATCCAGTGAAGTCCAAAAGAAAAAGACTGCCTAAGCACATGCAGTGAAGAAAAACTGGATAGATGGCAGTTATTATGCTCTGTGTCTTGCATAGTGCTGCTCTTCAGACTATAGAGTCCCAGCTGTTAGAATGGGAAAGTTTCCACCTCTCTAGCTTGTCACACCCTAGAACTGTACACAACTGAAGTCAGAGTATTCAATGGTACATCATGCCCAATATGTTATAGTT